CTTATACGGCGAGTATATAACAAACTCTGTATTTTGAGTGGAAATGTTAGGGGGTCGTCTTATACGCCCAGTCGTCTTATACGCCGGCAAATACGGTAATCAAAATGAAAAACGCGGGTAAATGCTTGAGGAGAAAAGCAGGATGGAAGTGGCTTGAATGTGGAGAATTTGAAAAGCTTCAGGGGTCTGAAGAGACGAAACTCAAGGTAAGGGATGATTTGGAGATCACCAAAAGAAAGGGGCAATGACATTCATATCCAGCGGTGGAAACAGAACACACAATGGGACCTGGGGGTCTAACGGCTCCGGGCTTTTCAGGAAATCTGAAAACTGAACACCAGGTGGAAGTCCAACAGTTTCACTCAGGTATATGCAATAGATGATTATTCCAATTTTACAAAGGAGACTCTGAAATGTTAAGTAACTTGCCCAAGGCCATTCAGCTGGTAAGCAGGAAGAACCAAACTGGAACTCAGAAGGCGCTCTAAGTCTGGCGGCTGCCTCACACACAGGTGAGCCCTCTACCTCTTTCTCCAACCCCAGACGACATCCCCTAGTCTCCTGCCTTTTCTCTCCAAGCCTTCTCCCTCAACCCCTTCCCAGCTAGCTTCCCTAGTCTCTTTTCTCAGAACTTCTTCAGTGATTAACCATTACTAAACTCTTGAGCAAGGGCAGCAGTTCATCATCTCAGGATCTCTCCCACTTGCTGGCCCTGTATAACCTAAGCCCAAGGATCTAGATCTCTGTTCTGGTGTGGCCGGCCTTCTCCTCCAGGTTGCTGAGGATCAAAGGAGCGTAGGGATGCTTCCTTGCCCTCCATCAGGAACCCCCGCCCTCCATCAGGAACCCCCGCCCCCCGCGCCACTCCGCGCCCGCAGCCCGCCACACCCCGGCGCTAGAACCTACAAATACTTTTTTCAACCTCTGGAGACCTGTTCCGTCTACTAGGTGCGTCACATCTGCCCCACGGGCAGAGCCGCAGCTTCCAAGCTCTCCAGGTGCCTAAACCCAGCAGGGAGTAGATGTCAACAGTTGGGCAATCCGCCCCCGGCAATGACCTAGCATAGAAGGCGAAGGAGGGCGGAGCCCGCAATAGGAGCATCCCCCAAAACCCCCGTGGTGGACTGCTGCCTTCGCTTTTGCCTTTGTGCCCGTCCAGTAACCCAGGGTCGAACCTCTCCTCTCAGCCAATGATAAAACCTCCACTCTCCCAGGACCCCTCCAAGAGATCTGAGGCCGCGCGTTCCTGGCCCTGGCCCTGGCTCTGACGACCGAGCTGGAAGGGTTAATTCCAACTGCCTCTAAGCCGGTTCCGGGGGCCGGGTCGCCCGGAGCGCCTCCCATAGGCCGCGGAGCCCACTCGGCGCTGATTGGCTGAGGCTCTTGGCTACGGCTCTCCAAGGTTCCCCATTGGGCGTCACGCACCAGTGACTGAAGTGTGGCGGCTGGTCCTCCCAAGGCTACCCCGCAGGGAGCTGCTGCGGACTCCCGCAGCTGCCTGGGAACTTTCATCCCTGGCCAGATTCCCGACTTACTTCCCCGATCCAGATCTCGTTGCTGTCCAGAGAACGCCACCGGATCTTCTCCCGGATCCTTTCCCTCCGTAACCTGCTGGTTTTCCTTTTCCTTGTTCCTAGCTCCAATCTCCCAGTTTCGCATCTCCCTCCCCTACTTCGGGCCCCCAGTAGCCGGCTATTCTCAGCATTACACCTGCTGTCCTCCTGGCTTCTGCCTCTCCTTGACCTCAGCTCCTTTCATCAATAGGGCCCTGTCATAACTTTCTCATCAGACTCTCCTAGCCTCTCTTCTCTTTGCCAGTTCCTGACTCCTACTAAATTCCTTTGACCTTCTGACATTTGACCCTGACACTGTTGACTCCCGAACTTAAATTCCTACCTCCTGCAGCTTGGACTGCTGAAACTGAGGTCTATCTTGGTTTCTGACCCCGTTTCTGTAGTTCATTTTGATTTTCTTACTCCTGGGCCAGTTCTTGCTCCCGCTACCCCACCATGGACTTCTTGATGAGCGGCGTGGCAGCCTGCGGAGCCTGTTTGTTCACCAACCCCCTGGAGGTGGTGAAGACCAGGATGCAGTTGCAGGGAGAACTGCAGTCCCCTGGCACCTACCAGCGGCACTACCGAAACGTCTTCCATGCCTTCATCACCATCGGCAAGGTAGACGGTTTGGCTGCCTTGCAGAAGGGCCTGGCCCCTGCCCTCCTATACCAGTTCCTGATGAATGGCATCCGGCTAGGCACCTACGGGCTGGCTGAGGCTGGAGGCTACCTGCACACAGCTGAAGGCACCCTCAGCCCTTCCCGCAGCGCAGCAGCTGGGGGCCTCGCTGGAGTCATGGGAGCCTACTTGGGCAGCCCTATCTACATGGTGAGAAGAAGGGTCTTGTCTGGGCCTTAAGGCAGACCCTTGGTGTAGGGTGTGGGGGGAGGGAGGGAGGCCTGGGCCTTCATAACCTGATACTGATGTTGGAAGTGGATTTGTGTAGGGGAGGGTGAGGAATTTGAATAACATACCTCAGCAAGTATCGAGATCAGGGGAAGTCCTGGGCATCACAGAATTATAATCTCACAGTCTGCCCCCTTTGAGTTATTTGGTATAGGTGAAGGGTCCATAGCCTGAGGCCCAGAGAGGTGAAGTGACCAGCTCAAGGTCACACAGCTGCTTATTGCTGGGACTAGGCTCTGCTTAGTGCTCCTCCTAGAAAGACACTGAAAGGCAGTGAGTTCTGTAGAGGAGAGACAGTCTGGTCTCACTCCTAGAGTATGAGATTCAGAGACAGTGACCTGTCCAAAGTCAGCTGGATACGTGGCCCCAGAGCCTGCCCCAAAGTCTGACGGGGATCCTGGTTGTGTGGTGGCTGGAGATTCAGTCTGCGAATAGGAACTGGCATGAAAGGCTGGACACTCAGGTCTTACCTAACGTGAACAGTCATAGGAAATGATGCCATTCTCCAAACTCTCCATCCCCCACCCTTATCCACAAGAGAAGGAGGATGTAGCAGAGGTTGAGTGTCTTGCGGTGCTAGGAGATCAATCCCCTGGGACTGAAGACAAGGGACACAGAGTCTCATGACCAATTAAGTGGGAACAACAATAATTATCAGATTAAAAGGATATTCATTACTGAACACCCTAGAGGAAGTGTGAGGGGGTCAGGCATTTGGGTCTGTGAGATGGGAGAATGGCTCCTGGGCCATAGGCTGTGATACTCTTTTGTCCCCAGGTGAAGACACACCTACAGGCACAAGCAGCCTCAGAAATTGCCGTAGGATACCAGTATAAGCATCGGGTAAGGTGTTTCCAACCCTGCTAGAGTCCCTGCCCATTCTCTCCCATTAGCCCCCAGCTTTCCGCCTACACACAACAGCTCCAATCTAACCATGGCTCTGCCCAGCCCATCAATTCAGTCCCACTCTGCCCCTGAAGTCCACCAAGACCCTCTTTCCCACATGTTCCCATTTCCTCTAGTCTTCTGCACCTGTTTCCCCTACCCAGTTCTCCTAACCTACTAATGTCCTCACTTCCATACACCCTGACCCTATTCTGGACTGGTGAAGGAGGGAACAACGGGGCGGTAGACAACTGAGAGGCCACATTCTGGCACTAAGTCCCCATAGAACTGGTTGTCTAGACATCGGATGCCTGTTAAGGACCTGTCCTTGGCAGTTAGAAGATGGCAGCCCCTAATGCCAGGATGACTGAACCCCACCCCCATGGTCTTCCCCCAACCAGGGCATGTTTCAGGCTCTAACCGAGATTGGCCAGAAACATGGTCTTGTGGGGTTGTGGCGCGGGGCCATAGGCGGCCTGCCCCGAGTTGTCGTCGGTTCCTCCACCCAGCTGTGCACCTTCTCATCCACCAAGGACCTCCTGACCCAGTGGGAGGTACTGCCCGGGGAAAGGGGTGGGGCCACCTTGGGAATATGGGCAGGGGGAAGCACAGGGTGAAGTGGGCGCTTAGGGGTCAGTGCCAACCTTCAATGTGAGGGTGTGGCAGGAGGGCTTGGGGGTCACCCTCTACACCCTTCCCACAGGTTTCTTGTCACTTTTTCCCGGAAGATGTACCTGAGTCCTTTGGCGTCATCACACTGTGTTATAACTAGTAGAGTGGAAGCTCTCTGAGTTACCAGCTCTCTAATGTATCCACAGGGAAGGGCCTGTCCTTTCCTCAGGGTTGAATGATTGACTGATTGACAAAGCTCTTCCTCCTTCCCCCCTTAGATATTTCCTCCCCAGAGCTGGAAGGTGGCTCTGGTAGCTGCCATGGTGAGTGGCATTGCGGTGGTCCTGGCCATGACACCCTTTGATGTGGTTAGCACAAGACTCTACAACCAGCCCACAGATGTTCAGGGCAAGGTAAAGGAGTGCTCTGGAGTATGGGCAGGCAGGGAGAGCCGGGGGTGGGGGAAAGAAGATTGCTGGTGCAGGTGGGACAGCCTAAAAGGCAGCCTACAGAGGTGAGGCCTCTGGTGGGCTCTGATAAACTCCTTCCCTATGTTCTCCCTCCCTCCCCAACCTGCTCTCAGGGTCTCATGTACCGGGGGATACTGGACGCTCTGCTACAGACTGCTCGGACAGAGGGCATTTTTGGCATGTACAAGGGTATAGGAGCCTCCTACTTCCGCCTTGGCCCCCACACCATCCTCTCCCTCTTCTTCTGGGACCAGCTGCGCAACCTCTACTACACATACTCCAAATAACAATATCCACTCTTCCACAATCCACCAAGTCAGCACTCCTTGGACAATCCTGCCTCCATTACTATGTCCTGGTGACTTCTGACCAGGTGACCTTTCATCTGGGGACAGCCAATCCCACTCCACATCTGTTTTCTCAGGGTTGAATCACTACAAGGGATAGTTTCCCTCCCTTCCTTGGGTATCGCTTTGAACTTTCTCTACCTGTCCCCCTGTACATTTCACACTCCTCCCTCAGGGCTGAGCCAGTCACTCCAAAGTAGTATATTTTCTCCCTTTCTCCACTGCCAGCCTTGGGTCCCTTCTGATCCCATGCACAACTTTAAACTCCCCCCTCCAAGATCAAAGAGAACTGGAGAGACCTGGGTGTCCTGTTAGATTCAAAGGCACAGAGATTATACTGTTATAAAGCAAGTTTATTTCTGCAAAGAGGTGTCTTATGTTTATGCACAGGGGAGAAATTTGGGAAATATATCCAACCCTTTGTTCCCCTTACAGAACGGGGTCCCCAAGTCTTCAGCAGCATCATGCAGCGTTTCAGCATCTTTACTGGGGACCAAAGATATTGGGATCGTGAAGAGTCAGACTGGTCACCAGCTGTTCAAAGTCACCCAGGCTCCAGGGCAGAAGTGACAGATTGTCAGGGCCAAGAGATGACCTATTGTCAGGGCTTGGGGGTGGGGGAACAGATGAAGAGAGAACATCATCCAGGCTTCAGGTTTGGAATCTCCCACTTCCTGTTCCCTGGAGGACCTAGGTATCTGTGACCCTAAACCTCTGGGCCACTCCCACTTTCTTGAGGACCCCACCAGCTAATCTCCCTGTTCTGCCCCTCCCAGCCTATTCTCGGGGTGACCCCAGTCATGAGCCAAGTGCTCTTTCTGTTCTCCTTACGGGGGCTGATTGAAGGTGAGCAGGAGATCGGTCTGGTATTGGGGCAGCCGCAGCAAGGCCTGGTGCAGTGTCACATCCTTTGCTACCTAAAAAGATCAGAGTCAGGATGCTTACCTAATCCTCTAAAGCCTCCCCTTTGACTCCTCCAGGATATGTCACACTCCACCAGCCCTTACCTGCTGGTTCTCTTTAGCTACCTGCTGCTTGCCAGAGAGAACCCAGGCTTCTTCACAGCAGCCCCTCAAGGCCAGGTTCTCCAAAGGGATGGGCTGCACATCCTCCACTTGCACAGCCGTAGCTTCCTGCACCCCGCCAACGTCCTCAAAGTGGTACCTGGAATTGGGGAAGCTGGGTCATGGAGTGCTATCTCTTACTGACCCTCCCTCCCCAAGCATCTTTCAGTCTAAGCTTCTGGTGATATGGTGTTGCCCTGATTAACAGATCAGCCGTAGGCCCCGCCCACTTCGGATCTGGCCCTCCCATTGGCCAGCCATGGGCCTGCCTCCTTACCTCGCGGCTGCTTCTCCACCAACATGGGCCTGCAGCTCTAGAAGTTCCAAGATCAGGCTCTGGTCTGTCACACGATGGCAGAAAACTTCTTGATTGTCCGGGACCGGTCGGAGGTCGCTGGGGAGAGGTGAGGCGGACTCTGGTTGACCCCCGCTTCGTTCCGCAACCCACCCGATTGGCCCCCATTGGCACCCGAGCCTTCTCACCTTATGTCAATGGCTCCTGGAGGGAGAGTGGCGGAGAAGGCGCCCCCGAACAGTGGATAGTCTCGTGTGTGCTCCATGGGCCTGAAACTAGGGTATAAGCATTAGAGAGATTTTAAAGAAACCTAAATGGATCCACGTGGCATAGCCTCCCTGCGTTTCGCTACAGCCACCGCCACCGCCGGTCTTACTTAGCTCCTGGCCCTTTAAGACTTGGCCCCGCCCTAAGATTGCGCTGGCCAATCGGCGCCTGTGCCTTCAGCCTCTGTCCAGCGGCGCTGCTGCGTTAGGCCACGCTCTTAGGGCGCGGGGCGGGATCGCCGGGTCAGTTGATAGCGAAAACCACGGTTTAGGACTTGCGACGTCTTTGTGGTCACAAACTCGCGCCCGCCAGCTTCCTCCTTTTAAATGGGCCACACATTCCAAGAATGTCGCCTGAGAGCCACCTTAGGGGTCGTTGCTCGTCCAAGGCACCGACGCCTAGATGGGGTCCCTGAGTCAAGGGAGAATAGTTTCAGGCTTATCCAGCTCCCTTCCCCAGGCCTCTTGACAGCGAATGAGCTGCCAACCAGGCCGCTAAATCCCAGATCGGATGATGGGAATTAAGGGAACAATAGGGCCGGGTTAGGATTCAGGCCTCAACGCCTTCCTGAAAGCGAGACCTAACCCCAGGGGTTATATATCCAATCCGTCTCATATCTTCGCTATGAGAAAGCTGTAAGGGAATGGAGACGGGGTGGTGGGTGGGGGCCTTACCGCCCCAAACACACCTGGAGGAAAGCTCGGATTAAACCCTCTGTTGTTTTTCTTTTATAGATTTTTAGAGTGTAGTTAACATTTCTGCTTAATTATATCCTCCCAGCTCATTTCTCAATTCGCCTTTGATCCCCAACACCTGGCAGAATGTTTCGAGCATAATAGACCCATTATGTACTGAGTGATTGAATAAACCCAATAGTGTGAATTCTGGAACCCAAGAGACCACCCATGCCCTCAGGGGTTCTAGATATCACCTACTTCCCAGCCAAGAACATGTTTCTTCTGCCCTGCTCCCAGACATGAGAAAGAGGGTTCTCATCCTAAGGCCACCCCACCCAGGGGGTTCCAAGTGGTGACCATACCTCTGGACCATAATAATTTTGTAACACTGGGGTCAGGGGCACAATTACTATTTTGGTCCCTTACCTTGCCAGGCCCTGTATGAAGAGCTGGAGGTACAATGGCAATTAGGACACAACCTCTGCCTCACTGGAGTACACTTTGAGTCTTAAAGATTGATTCAGAATTCACCAGGGCATCCTAGGGGTATTTTAGCCAGGGGGAACATCAGGAGCAAAGACTTGGAGATGAAAGTGTGTTTGGGGGAATGCAAGTACAGATTCCGCAGACTTACTATGTATGGTTCAACTTAAAGATTTTTCTTTCATCTTTACAATGGTGTGAAAGCCATATGTATTTAGTGGAAACCATACTTTGAATTTTGAATTTTGATCATTTGCTAGGCTAAGTGATATGTGGTATGATACTCTACAGTGTATTCATTGTGAGACATGATTTTGTCCAGCTGTAGGATAATGTAAGTGTTCTGAGCATGTTTAAGGTAGGCTAGTCTAAGCTATATTGTTCAGTAGGTTAGGTGTATTAAATGCATTTTTGACTTATTATATTTTCAATTTACAGTGGATTTATGGGACGTAACCCCATTGTAAGTCAAGGAGCATCTGTTTATCACTTTGGCAAGGGTGCACTGGAGAATAGGATGCAAGGAGCTGTGAACAATGAGACTGGAGAGGTGACCATGGCAAGGTTTTTATTTTTATTTATTTTTTCATGGCAGGGTTTTTATAGAGCATACTAAGGAGCTTGGATTCGTCACTTCTGATAGCTAGCATCAGACTTCTCTCAGTCTTATTTCTAAAACATTGTTGTTAGGATTAAAGGAGGCATGGATGTAGCTGAATCTGAATCTGTTTCTGGGCAAAGAGAGTGGACTATGTTTGATCCAAGAGAAATTCTAGAGAGGAGGGGAGTGTTACAGACCCCAGAAGGAGAAGGAGCCCAGACATAGGGAACAAAGAGAGACAGGTCAGAGAATTCTACCCCATGCTGCCTCTTTCAGATGGGGAATGACAGACCTCTCTGTGTCTCCCTCCCCATTTCTTCTGACCTGCCATCTGCTCCTGCTCTCCACCTGGGGCAATACCAGCTCTGGCTACTTTGTGAATAATAAAGCAGATAGGGAACCCTTGGGACCTGCAAGGGTGTAGATGTTATAAGGGCCCTGGCACTGGGCACAAGGGGTGGGGGCGTATTCATGGACCAGAAGGAGGTCACACTAGATTATGGAGACTAAGGAGACAGCCCCCCAACTTCCTTATTTTGGTTCTTTGGCATGCCAGGTGTCATACTCTGCTATGAGCCTTGTGCAGCTGGGGTCTCCTGGCCCTCCTCAATTCTTGAGCTCCTGGGGCATGTGTTAGGTAGGCTCTTCCAGGTGGTAGGAAGTAGAATTCCATGAAGTGACAGAGGTACAGGGCCAGACCTCCTCTGGGAGAGTAGCGTTGAAGGCCACCCTAATGTGGCAAATTCCCACTCTTGACACCACTTCCCTCTCTCTCACCCTTCACCTCTCTCTTTGCATCTGTCCCTTCTTCTGGACCTCCCAACTGCTAACGCCCTGTGTGTTCAAATTCAAACTCCCGAAGAGACAGGATCTAACTGGGCTGATTAGTTGACATTCAATCTGAAAGTATCTATTAATATTTGGCTAGCTCTCCTGCTTGGCCACTTCCCAGGCCACTGGCCAGACATGAGTGAGATCTTTGGTCCAGCTGGCTATGGACCAAATGGACTAGGAAGATGGGTATCATGGGACAAACCTTGTTGGCCAAGATGGCCCATAGCCACTTTTCTCAGGAGGGTGTGAGCTCACTGACTGAAGTAGGTCTGCAATTGATTGATTCTACCTCTGGGACATGCCCTGACCCAGTGCCCTGCATGTAGTTGATGCAGTTGTTTTCTTTGAGGAGCAGTGTCCCAGGGTCCCTCCCCTTTTGAAGGAACCAAGAGGTGGACTTCTTGGACTCAGACCAGAGAGATTACTCAACACCCAAAGTGAAGCATTCCTTTGGGACAAGTTAGGGCAACGTGTGTGTGTGTGTGTGTGTGTGTGTGTGTGTGTGTGTTTATTTATTTATTTATTTATTTAAAGATTTTATTGGGGAATTGGGGGAGGGGAATAGTGCTGGGGAATTGGGGGAAGGGGACCAGACAAGTTGCTGTCCTTTTGTTCTTCAGTCTAGTTGTGGAGGACGTTGCTTCACTGGCCCATGGTGGTATTATCATTGCGCTCTTCCCAGGTGAGGCAGATCAGTCACCGGCCACTGGACGGCCACTCATGGTGGCTCTTGGCAGCTTACGCAGGCTGCTGGCCACTCACGCCAGTTGACAGCCACTCGTGGTAGCTTATGGCAGCCCACTGCAGCTTCACTGCAGCCTACGCCATCGCTGGCTACTCACGGCAGCCCAGCTCCAGGTCAAGCTGTTGTTCACCATCTTAACTGTAAGAGAGCGCAGCGTCACTGGCCCTCATGTGGGATCCAAACCAGGGCCCTGCTGCTCAGAGCTGGCGTCCCAAGCCAACTCTTAACCAACGCGCCACTCAGCGGGCCCTCGCTTCCTTTTCTGGTAACAAGTTGACACTCATTCCTCAGGTCCCAGCTCATCACAAGAATCATTCCTTTGTCCCAAAAGTCTGGGCCACATCCCCTGCTATGGGTTCCCATGGTACTCTGAGCTTCCTCTAAAAGATACTTCATTGAAATTGCTTGTCCCAAGTCTTTCTCCCTCCATGTGTGTACGCCAAGGGAGAAGGCCCTTGAACATTTTCTTACCTGAATAACAGATTGGGTGGGGCTCTCTGTGTCACACACTTTTTCCCATTCTGTAGCCACAGTCTGCTTCTCCAGCCTGACCAGGCAGATGAAGCTGCACAAACTCATCCTTCCTCGGGAAAAATGGCCCACAATCACAAGGACTCCTGGTGGGCTGCTTACAGAGAAAGGTCTTTCCTGAAGCCAGAGCCGGGACTCCAACTAAGACCCAGGCCTCCAAGACCCAGGCTGAGTCACAGCAGCAGTCCACATCCACCATGTGGCTGTTTGCTTCCCCCAAGTGTCCAATGACAGACTGAAGATTTCTTTGATTTTCTCTCCAGTGTCTTAAATACAGCAGGTACTGGGGGAATACAGCTTTCCTGGCCCTGGGACTCTGCAGACTCAGCTACTGTGGGAGACCCCCACCTCCAACAGGCTCGCAACTGTCTGACATCTACCTCATTTCTTTCCATTCTATCCCTTGCCCATGCCCTGTTTGGGTCAGGTGTCCGAGATGCTGTTTGGAGGGATGCCCAGGGGTGGACTAGAGAAGCTGGGAACCTCTCTGGAGAAAGTGGTCTTCTCCAGATGGTCCCATCTGGACCCCCTTGTGCACACTCTACCCTCTCTGTGCTCAGCCCCTTCAGTAGTTACTTTTTCCAGAATAGTACATGCTGACAGGAGACGATAATGCATGTTCATTTTAGAGACTATAATGCATGTCTTTCTGTGAATTGAAGGGCCATGTTGGCTGCCAGGCTGGTGTTAAGTTAAGAGACAAGACGTATTGATTCTCCCTGTTTCCCCACTCCTTCTCAACACACAGTGTCCTTCATTTGATGCGATGACAAGAATGTGTAACTTAGAATGACTGGAAAGATGAGGTAAAAAGGGGAAATGCTCGAGAGGACCTGCAAAGCAAAGCCACCCATAAACTCAATCCACTAAGTTCATTCTTATGTTAAGGGAAAATATAAGTATCAACCTTTATGAATTTTAACATTCATATTTATTCATTTGTTCAACATATATTTATTGAACACCTGGAAGGTGCCAGGCACCATGCTAGGTGGTAGGATACAGTGAGAGCAAATATGGAGTTCCTGCTCTCATGGAGACACTACTGAGGAGACAGTTCTTTGATCAAAGAAACACATAGTTCAATTTAAGATTGTAATGATGAAAAATAAATTACAACAGTGACTAGGGCTGGAAAGAGAGGTGTGGTGCTACTCTAAGAGCTTCCAATGTCTAAAAGAATTTGACCAGAATACTGTTGACTGATAAGACCAAAAAAAGAACAGGACTTGATTATTAGGTTTGGAGGTTGTA